TAAATGTATAATTGCAGCATTTGCATCTTTTGCTACATCAGCTGCGGATGCGAGATTAGCTAAGGCATCTGCTTCAACATTTTCATCCCTCGATATCTGTATGACCTTCCAAGTTTGGAATTGCTTTATCAGTTCCCGTACCTTTTCCAAGTACTGTTGCATCCTTGCTTCCCTAGCTGTGTAAGTCCCCAGCATTTGATTAACCACGAGCTGCGAGTCACTTTTGATCACTACTTGATTTATACCAAGTTCTCGTGCCAATTCTAAACCTGCAATCACAACTTCATACTCCGCTTCATTGTTAGTTACGGAATGACATTTAATGGCTTGCCTAATAGTTTCACCTGTAGGTGGTACTAAAACAATTCCTAATCCTGCACCTTTTACATTAGATAAGCCATCAGTAAATAAGGTCCATGTTCCTGGATTACATTAAATAAGTACTTGTACTTCTTTTTATGCTTCTAATTGCATCCCTTGGCTAAAGTCAGCGACGAAATCAGCTAATATCTGTGATTTTATTGCTGTTCTAGGTAAGTACGTGATTTCATATTCACTTAGCTCTATGGCCCATTTAGCTAACCTCCCTGACAATTCATGTTTATGCAATATATTACGTAGGGGGTATGCAGTCACTACAACAATGGGATGACATTGAAAATAAGGTCTTAACTTCCTAGATGCCATGATTAGAGCAAGTGCTAATTTTTCCAATTGTGGATACCGTGTTTCCGCATCTAACAAAGATTTACTAACATAATAAATAGGAGATTGTTTACCCTGCTCTTTTCGTACCAAAACCGCGCTTACCGCAACTTCTGAAACAGTAAGGTAGATGAAAAGTTTCTCCCCGGCCTTGGGTTTTGCTAGCAAAGGTGGATTTGACAAGTATGTTTTCAAATATCTAAGTGCTTGTTGACACTCCTCATCCCATTCAAAATGATCCTGCTTCTTAAGAGCCGAAAAGAATTTAAAACATTTTTCCGATGATTTAGAAATGAACCTTCCCAAAGCTGCGATTCTTCCTGTTAGTCTTTGAACCTCTTTCTTGTTGGAAAGTATATCTGGAATTTCTTCAATGGCCTTAATCTGTGCAGGATTCACTTCAATACCACGGTTAGAAACAAGAAAACCTAAAATTTTTCCTGATGCCATACCAAATGCACATTTTTCTGGATTCAACTTCATATTATATTTTCGTATAATTTTAAACGTATCAGATAGGTGCGATATATGATCTTCTGAATGTTGAATTTTAACTAGCATATCATCTATATATACTTCCATGGTTTTACCTAAATGTTCTTGAAACATTTGGGTGAACAACCTTTGATACGTTGCACCTGCATTCTTAAGACCGAAGGGCATTACCTTGTAACAGTAAGTCCCCCTGTCTGTTATAAAAGAAGTTTTTTCTTCATCACCTGGATCCATCTTGATTTGATTATAGCCTGAATATGCATCTAAAAAACTTGATAGCTCATGCCCTGCAGTAGCATCAATTAACTGGTCTATGTGCGGTAAAGGAAAGGAATCTTTTGGACATGCTTTATTAAGGTCTGTGTAATCTACACAGACTCGCCACTTACCGTTCTTCTTAGGAACCACAACAGTATTAGCTAACCAGTTAGGATATTTTACCTCACGAATTGAACCAATTTTTAGCAACTTTTGAACTTTCTCTTGAATCACCTTATTTTTGAAAGTTCCTTGCTTTCTTTTCTTTTGCTTGACGGGAGGATATGATGGATCTTCATTCAACTTATGAGTCATGACTTCCGGTGGTATCCCTGTCATGTCACAATGGGACCGAGCAAAACAGTCCGCATTAACTTTTAAAAATTCAATCAATTTATGTTTTACCTTCGGGCTAAGATTAGCTCCTATGTACTCTTTTCTCTCGGGCCAATGTATAAATAACACCACGGCTTCTAGCTCTTCTATTGTTGTTTTGATGTTCTCATTCTCCTCCGGTTCTTGAATGGTATCAGGCCTTGAATCCAGATCTGTTTGCTTTTGCTCAGGTGAGGTTGTTTCCGTGTTACCCTCACCTAAATTCTGTAATTGCTATTTGTCTTCACCTTTAACAGTTGAATCTGCAACGGAATTGATGCTTCTAGATGCTTGTTGATCGCCTCTGATTTGGCATATTCCCCATGGAGATGGGAATTTAATAACTTGATGTAAAGTTGAAGGAACAGCTTCCATGTCATGAATCCATGGCCTCCCAAGAATCATATTGTAAGCCATTTCCATATCTACCACTTGAAATTTGGTATCTTTAACGACGCCTTCTGCGAATGTGGTAAGTATTGCCTCCCCTTTTGTTACAACACTAGAGTTATCAAATCCCGACAAAGTATGCGCCTTTGGGATTAATTTATCCTCCGCTTGCATCTCGCGCAATACCCGTATTAAAACAATGTTTACAGAACTACCTGGATCAACCAAAACTCGTTTCACGTTAGTATCATGTACAAGTAAAGATATTACCAGTGCATCGTTATGCGGAGTTATGAGTCCCTCGGCGTCTGCGTTGTTGAATATAACATTCTCCTCTTCCAGTACATGTCGAGGCCGCTTCCCGTGGGTAATTGTCACTTTTGAAACCTTTTTATATGATACATCATTGATCTCTTCACCTCCACTTATAACGTTGACAGTTCTCTTGGGCGAAGGTGGTTTTGGAGGCTCCTGTCTGTTCTTCATGTATGCTTGTTTACCTTTCTCACTGAACAACTCAGTAAGATACCCTTGTTTTAACAAATGATCAACTTCACCTTGTAGAAACCTGCAATCTGCTGTTTTATGCCCATGATCGTTATGAAATTCGCACCAATGATCAGGGTTTCGTCTGTTCGGATTTGATCGCATTTCCTTTGGCCATCGTACCTTATCTCCCATGCTTCTTAAAACAGCCACGAGTTCAGAGGTGCTTACGTTGAAGTTGTAACCACCGAACCTTGCCTTTAGACTTCCATCATCGTCTCGTGACCCGCGTGTGTTTCGATCATTCCCGAACCTTGATGAGGAGCCTGATTCCCTGTTCCTAGGTTTGTGATCGTACCTTTGATTATCTTGTCTTGATCGTGAGTCCTTTCCCGCAGGTCCCATGTATGGTTCGTACCTGTTTTTACCGGATCTCTTTTCATTTTCCACACGCCTTGAGCTTACCTTTTCTTCTGTTTTATGTCGTAAAATAATGTCTTCTTCAATCCTCATCTTTGTACTGTATCTGTTGTAGACATCATTCCACGTTGTTGCTGGGAATTCTCGAAGGCGTTCTTTGAGTCGCCTCGTGGCTTCTGAACTCTTCTTATTTAAATTACTAGCACAGGCTATGGCTGCCCAATTGTCAGCTACTCGTGGCAGCGTCATTCTTTCCCGTTAAAATCTATCTACGAACTCTCAAGTAACTCTGAGTCTCCTTGCTTGATTTTGAAGATATCTTCCATTCGCTTTTCAACTTTTTGAGCTCCCGAGTGTGCTTTGATAAATAAATCTGCAAGCTCAGCAAACGAAATTATAGAATTTTCGGGTAAAAGAGAATACTATGTTAAGGCTCCTTTAGTGAGTATTTCACCGAATTTTTTGACCAAGACCGACTCAATTTCTTGCTTAGTCAAATCATTGCGCTTGACACCTGTTGTGAATGCAGTAACGTGATCTCGTGGATCTGATGTACCATCATACTTTGGAATATCAGGCATCTTAAACTTCTTTGGAATTGGGAGGGGAGCAGCGCTTGGCTTCCATGGTTGTTGGGAATATTTATCTATATCCACTCCCTTGATCACGGGCGGTACTCCAGGTATTTGCTCTATGCGTTCATTTTGCTCCTTAAGCTGTTTCTGCAAGGTTAGTACTAGATTTTGTAAATCAGAGTTAACTGGATTACCTGGGTCTCTCTCTTGTGTTTCACTAGGGGTTCCACCGCTGCCTGAATTAACCAATCCTGAACGAGGATTCTCCAAAGTGTTGTTGTTTGGAGTAGATGTGGGTGGAACAGCAGGTAATTGGCTAACAAAAGCTTGAAGAGCATTATTGACTTGAGAGGCAATAAGTTTTTGCAGAGCCTCATTCATGGTTTCAACATTTTCGAATTGAGTTTGTCCATCTGTGTGAGATCCATCAGGAGTGCCTTCACGAGACCGTCGTGGGGAGCCTCGTGGAGAACCTTGTGGAGAGCCTTGTGGGGAATCACCCTGAAGTTGTTGGATTATCTGAATTTCTGAATTTCCTTGAGTGTTGTCATTGTTGTTCGACATGATTGATGCAATCAAGAAAATTAGGTTGAGATATGCTTGATTATCAGATTCCCGGTAACGGAACCAATTTGTTTAACCAAAAATTAGATTTTAGGTCAAAGCTTAAATTTAGAAGAACTCGGGTTACTGATAATCGAAAAAGTATATAAGAAAGAGATTTTGAATGATATAATCAGAAAGCAAAAAGAACAAAGTTTATTCCAGTAATATTTTCTCGTCCCCTACAGATGTTATGACTTTCTTCTTTTATAGTTAATTTTAAGAGAAAGTGTAATGCCTTTGTCTTAATGAGGCAATTACGAGAAATAAATGACATTAAAAGAAACGTTACTCAATCATTCATATTAAATACAAATTCTCTAACGTATTTGGCATTTAATGCTGAATTAGGACTCTTTTTCGTTATCAGATTCATGTCTTCAATTCCTTTTGATCTTCGAGCTTTAAATGACTCGAACAGGTACGAGTCTCGTTTCATTTGAATAATAGCTTGTGCCTTTAAGTATCTTCTCTTCCGCATCTGTTGTTGCTTGTGCCTTCTAACTGATTACCGCGCTTTGACTATTTGACCGGTCCACGTTTCATGACACGTCATCTTTAATATTTAAATTCAGTTTTTTCCCAATACACGCGCGTAAGGACCGTTAAAGAGAAAAGCTTTTCGAGCATGACTCTTTTCATTCTCCATTTGGTAACTCAAGCCGCAATGCAGAAGAAGCAGAAGTTAGACACCTTGTTCGCCATCTGTATGCACCCATTTGATCAAGTGATTCTCCTCTTTTCTTTTCAACTTCAAGCTCAGAAAGAATCTGAGTTAGTTGCAAATTGAGCTCTTGAACACTAGCATTTCGATGTGCATCAACAAGATGAAGTGATGAATTAGAAATTGGATTATGATTTTTCGAGAGGAACCCATCGATAATGGACTCAACATTAGGGTGATCAAAAGAAAAAACTTTTCTTGCAGGTGAAAAAACTACGATAGCTATTTTAACCCCACAAAGTATGCATAGTTCACTAGCTTTCTTGAAAAGACCAGAACGGCGTTTTGAGAAGGTAACTTGGAGATGATTGCAATTTTGATCTTTTGACGACCCATGCTAGGTTTCTTTGCCATGGCTGAAACCAAAGAATATTAGAGATAATTCTCGTGGTTTTCGAGTTTGCATTCAGAGTAAAAAATATTGGCTATTTAAAGATGCTTTGGAGTACTCTCAAACTTGCTGTCTTTAAAATGTTTTTACTATTGTTTCTATCTAATGTGCTGATTTGGGAGTTAGAAAATCTTCTCCTATTAATGGATTGAAAATGCGAGAGTCAATGCACCTTAGTTGGCATTATTAAGATGATAAGGCATATATATTACTTGTGAAAGTCAACTATTTTTTTTGATAAATCCCTTAATAAGTATTTTCTCCGGTCTACTTTAATTGATATTTTGGTTGTTGTCACACATATTAAGGAATTCACCTTTTAGCATTAATTAACACTTAAATTGACCATATTAACATTAGTTTATTTATTGAAAATATAACAAATACTCCTAGGCCTTTTACTCCAACGACAACTTAAAAAAAGAAGTTAATTTCTTGTTGATATCTGAAAAAAATCAAATGTTATGGACAACAGAAAAAGACCAAAAAAATAATTAAAGTGCACCGGAGTAATGACTTAATTGTTTGTTACAACTGTCAACCCTTCTATCTAGTAATTGGTTTTTATGCAGCTAGCTAGCAGGGGTAAATGCTAATTAATTAAGAGAGTAAGATAAAAGGAGATATCTACCAACATTAGAGATACTATACGTAATTTTTATTGTTTGAGTTGTAACCTAAAGACAATCATGTTTTTGCATTTACTTTTTGAGTGGTAACCTAAGGAGAAGCCAATTATGATAATAGTTGGATAATAATAATGTCTTAGCTTAAGAAATCAGGTGGTCATTATTAAGTTCAGATATTGATGAGTTATTGTATACGGTCAAAATCGAGCCCACCTGATTTTGCTATTTGATCGAAACAAAGGAGCTGCATCAGGCGTAACCTCGTAATGAATCAGACCCGAGCTCGAAGACGAGGCATCGAGTCCTAAGATCGAAGTGTCCGTCGAGACCGAGGACAACAGCAATTGAGACTAAGTATGACCGACTTCGAGTGAAATGCCATAACGAAAAGGCGAGATATCCGCAACCGGCCGGAGATCACGGCGGAAATCTCGGAACAGATCAAATCAAGGGTGGTTATTTGTATCAATCATGGGATTTACTTTCGTAATTAGAATTGTACCACAATTAGGATTCCTCTAGTATATAAAGAGGGCTCCCTATCATTTGTAAACACCTTGCATTCATATAGATTAAAGCAATATAATATTTCTCTATTGTTCTTTATCTATTCTTACCTCACTACTCTCGAGGGTTCGTCAGCTCGAGGACACTGTCCGGACAACGGTTCGTTTTATATTTTTTTCAGTTTCATCATGTATCTCTAAATTAATCAATCGGTATTAAGTGAAATCACGTATCCTTAAAACCACATTACATGTTTAATAGTTACTCGATTTTTAGGGTAAACAGTTTGGCGCCCACTGTGGAGCTAAGTATACTAGTGATTGCTTAATATCTTAACCTTCATAACACACACTACTTTTATGCTTGTTCTTGTGAGTATTTTTGATTTCAGGAATAAACATGTCAAACTCTCAAGCAGTACCCACTCACACTGACACAGGCCTTGGTGTTCATGGCGAAAATGATCACATAGTCGCCCCGGAAAATGGAGTACCTCCAATCAATCTCGACGCACCATAGGCCGTGGATCCGGTTGATGTCAATTTTGATGTCGCCATTTGTGGAGATTTAGGCGTAGACCTTGAAAATAACGTCCGCAGAGACGCCTAAGAAGCTGATCGGAACATGACAAAATGGTGAAGAAGGCGGAATTAGCCTTCTAATGATATTTGACATGCTACAAACTTAGCAGGCCGCGATAACGCAACTCCAAAATCAGAATCGAGCCCCAGGTAGAATCGAATTCGATACATCATAGGAAGTTGCTCATAGGGTCGAAATCGTGCAGGAAAAATTGAACGATAAGGGATCAGGAACTGATCCCGCCATCATGAAAATGCTCAAGGAGCTCACTAAACGGATAGAATCAGGTGAAAAGAAAATCGAGGCTAATGACAAAAAAATAGAAATGTAAAACTCACGAGTTGACCAAATACCAGGGGCACCCCCGATCCTAAAGGGTTTGGATTCAAAGAAGTTCGTGCAGAAGCCTTTTCCTCAAAGTGCGGCTCCGAAGCCCATTCCTAAGAAGTTTCGTATGCCAGACATCCCCAAGTACAACGGGACCATCTATCCTAATGAACACATCACTTCGTACACATGCGGAATAAAGGGAAATGACTTAGAAGATGATGAGATTGAATCCTTTTTTGTTGAAAAAAATTGGAGAAACTTTATCAAAGGGGGCAATGATATAGTACCACAATTTGCCGCCCAATTCCATCGGCTCCTTCTCCATGCTCACTGATTCACTCGTAAAGGCGCATGCCGGAGCACTAAAGGTCGTGACCAGGAAGTCGGACCTCTTCAAAGTGAGACAGAAGGATATTGAAATGCTAAAGGAGTTCGTATCTCGATTTCAGATGGAACGCATGGACCTACCCCCGGTTATCGATGATTGGGCTTTCCAAGCCTTTACTCAGGCTTTGAAAGAACGGAGTTCGATAGCATCACGTCAACTAAATCAGAATGTGATGGAGTATCCAGCGGTGACCTGGGCCGATGTTCATAATCGGTACCAATCAAAGATCAGAGTCGAGGATGACCAGTTGGGAGATCCATCCAGTTTCGTTTACCCAAACAGGTCCGAAGGCAGGATTCAAAGGGACATCGACAGAGAGCCCCGATCGAACAGAGATTGATACCAACCATATAGCGCAGATCAGAGGAACAACGAATCGGGACGTAATCCTATTCTAAATGATCGAAGGAATGTCGAGGTCAAAATTCTCGAGGCTCATGAGTAAGAATGGCTTCGATAAACACGTCGATCCTAAGGAATAACCACGGTTATCAGAATAAAACTTCAACATCAATGCTTCAGGTATTGTGTCAGCCATTGGGCGAATCAAGGATACTAAATTGCCCAGACCCCCGCAAACCGATCCAGCTCAAAGGAATCTGAATCAAATGTGCAAGTACCATGGAACCCTTGGTCACAGAACCGAGAATTGCAGACAATTAAGGGAGGAGGTAGCTCGTTTATTTAACGAAGGTCATCTTCGAGAGTTCTTGAGTGACTGAGCAAAAAATCACTTCAGATACAGGGATGCAAATAGGAAAAACGAACAGGAGGAACTGCAGCACGTGACTTATAAGATTGTCGGTGGGGTCGATATCCCTCAAGGTCCGACATTTAAATGCACCAAAGTCATAATTACAATGGAGAAGATACCTTATCCTTCAACAATGAGGATGCAGAAGGGATCGAACAGCCTCACAACGACGCACTGGTAATATCTATCCTTATGAATAAAATTCAAGTTAAACGTGTGTTGGTTGATCCGGGTAGCTCGGTGAATATTATTCGATCAAGGGTCGAGAAGCAACTTGGCCTTCAGGATCTGATCGTGTCTGCAACTCGAGTGCTCAGCGATTTCAACATGGCGAGTGAAACCATCAAAGGGGAAATCATGTTGCCAGTGAACGTGGCCGGAACTATCCAGGAAACAAAGTTCCACGTGATCGAAGGAGATATGAGGTACAACACGGTGCTCGAAAGACCTTGGATCCATAATGAGGGTAGTACCTTCAACGGTTCATCAAGTCTTGAAATTCCCAACATCGGAAGGAGTCAAAACGGTGTATGGCGAACAACCAGCAGGTAAGGAGATGTTTGAAATTGATGAAGTAATACCAGTATCGACACTAATATCAACCAAGGGATCAGAATTGAAGGAAAAGCAGGGAGTCAAATAGCAACCACAGTCGGAAAGGCATCTTGCAAGCTTGGCACGATGAATGGCGAAGAACTGCCAAATAATTGGAACATATCATTTCTCAAACAATACTACTGCTAAGGTATGACTCTCTCCCTTTTTCATTTATACTTTATACTAACCTATCACAGGTGTTCGATCGAAGACAACGGAAAATCCTTCAACACAAAGACTTCAAGTTTTAAAGCATGTGTTGCACTCTTTTTCCCTTAGATCGGTTTTTATCCCAAATGAGTTTTTCCGGCGAGGTTCCTAACGAGGCAACAATTATATGTGCTACCTAGGTACAATTCAACAGTATCCGAGGCTTCTTTACAATCAACCTCGAATACTATTGAGGCATCACCCTCGGTTGTTATATTTTCAAGGAAGATTCTTCGTGTCAACAGGGTCTCGATAGGAAAATTTTGTGAAGGGCCAAACGGTCAAACGAATCGTGCCCATGTAGATTGTCCGAGCCCTAATGACAAAACATGTACGCTTGAATGATCTATTGAAAGAAGTACTTTTTCCTTATCAGATGTTCCATGCCTTAGCGAAAATTCTACTTTACAATTAGTACTTATGATATTTTACGGAAACCCGCTCAAGAGCCAATCACAACTAAAGCTCGAGCTATTAACTCCGTACTCGGGGACTGTCGTCCAAAAATCGACACGCTCGAATTGTTAAACCTTGAAATCTTAAGACCTTAAAAAGGCATTACTCCATTTTATGGGCCACTGCCACCCCACTCGGGGACTAATACTTTGAACAAGTTTGAAGTATAATCTACAGACAAGCCCAATGGGCAAATATCAAGTTAAAGGCTACGACCAAACTAACACGGTTCGGAGACGCCCGAATTCCGCAATCAAACAGGCCTTCAAATATTTTCATAAAACTTGTTAAAAAAGGGCTCCCCTCGACAAATTTACATAGGGTTTCGATAACATCAACCCTCGAAAACCATAAGAGGTACCAAATTAAACAAACTTATGCTAAGGTATAACAAAGTTTTTTGATAACACTAATGGGTACAAATCTATCTCATGCTAAGCCAAAGCAAATTTTTATTAAAACTTTTAAGCCGAAAAAAGGGGAAGAGCCACTCTTTCGAGGCCATATCGG